TGCTCTTTCTCTGCAACTACCATGTTTACGTACAGCTCTGAGACTACGGACGTGGCCGACCATTTGGCGGCCACGTTGACGAATGGTCCCGTCGATACTAGACTGACGTGGATTAAATATAGCCGTTGCTTCAACTTTCTAAAAGAAGTTCGCTGAAAACGCTGTCGTAAAGCTACTAGTTGTGCGTAGAACGCTGTCGTATTGTGCTCATTTGTGAAATAGATTGATTTTTAGGCTGAAGGCGCGACTAGATTTGGCGGTTACTGTTAGTTAATCAAATGCAAGTCGAGGTCGGCGCAACTAGGCTGCGACTATTCCGGTCGGTGAACATCTCTAATTGGGCGGCGCCGGCGGCCAGCAGAGTCGTCGGGAACGAGAGGGAGGCGGAGCAGAACTGTCTGGCGCTGCTTCAGGCCTGCGATTCTTTCTCAAAATTATGTCAAGCTCAAGCCCACCTTATCAAATTCGGCCTCAATAACAATCCCCTGGTTCTCACCAAGTTTGCCGGTACTTCCGCTGATCTGAAAGCAATCGATCACGCTTCATCTTTCTTGTTCTCCCCAGAGTCAGATACCCGTCTCTACGATGCTTTCCTCTTCAACACCGTCATCAGAGGCTACGCTCGGGGCAGCATTGATTCGAAAGCCAGAGCTATACATATTTACAGCCTCATGTTTGAGTACGGTGTTTTTCCCAATAAATACACGTACCCGTTTGTTCTCAAGGCCTGCGCAGCGATTCAGGACTTGAACTTGGGGAAATCGGTTCATGGGTCGGTGTTGAAATTCGGGTTTGATGATGACATCCATGTTCAGAACACGTTGGTTCACATGTACTGTTGTGATACACACGGGATCGACGCTGCTCGCAAAGTGTTCGATGAAATGCCCAAGTGGGATTGTGTTACTTGGAGCGCAATTATCGGTGGATACGCTCGGTTAAAGATGTCTGCAGATGCAGTCCAATTGTTTAGGGACATGCAGAGTCATCGAGTTCGCCCGGATGAGATCACCATGGTTGCAGTTCTCTCAGCGTGCACAGACTTGGGCTCTCTTGAACTAGGCATATGGGTTGAATCTTGTATCGAAGAAGAGATGATCCAAAAGAACACCGAGCTCTACAACGCATTGATCGACATGTTTGCCAAGTGTGGTGATGTCGATAAAGCCATTGTGCTCTTCAGGAGCATGGATGAGAAAAGAAGTATAATCTCCTGGACCTCAGTCATCGTTGGTCTAGCAATGCATGGTCGAGGGACAGAGGCTGTTGCTCTATTCGAGGAGATGGTAGGAAGCGGTGTAGCACCAGACGGTGTTGTGTTCATTGCCTTGCTCTCCGCTTGCACTCACTCAGGCTTGGTAGAACAAGGAAGAGAGTACTTTGAATCAATGAGAGCCATTTATGGGATTGAACCCAAGATCGAGCATTATGGTTGCATGGTGGATATGTTATGCAGGGCAGGGCTAGTTAAAGAGGCGTTTGAGTTCGTTCAGGAGATGCCTATTGAACCTAACCCCATCATTGGGCGTACTTTGATCAATGCCTGTCGCGCCCACGGGGAGCTGAAGCTCGGCGAGGAGATCAGCGCGCAACTGATAAAGAATGATCCCCTGTATGAGTCCAATTATGTACTGCTCTCGGATATTTATGCTAAAATGTCTGATTGGGAGAAGAAGAGAAGTGTTAGAGAGGCGATGGAGAAGAAGGGGATGAAGAAGATCCCTGGAAGAAGTCAGATTGAATTGGAGAACGAGATTCATAAAGTTGTCCCACAGTTGTAGTTGGAGATTTTCATTGCTTTTCCCCCTCTTTTCTGGGTTTAGAATACATCTTCTTATTGTTGTCAAACAAATTGGTTCATCAAAAAAGAAAAGAACCAGTTCCCCAATCCTGATACAGGCTAGTTAGATTGCTGAGAAATTCCTCAGCAGACTCTTACAGTATATAGTGACTTCATTTACGCTAGATAGAGTTGATATTTGGTTTAGAATAGAATCGTCGAACATAGTTTGATCTGGGACTAGTTCGAATTGTGCTTACTTTTAGTAGCTAAAATGTCTATTTAAGGGTGAATTTGGTCTACCCTTTGATCTAAAATCATACCTCCGTCAAACTATACGTAACATTTGAATTGAAGTATTTGAACAAAAGTACGCTCATCCTTTTTCTCAGTAGCCTGACCTAACTAGCTCCATCTGTGAACAAGCTTAAAAGATGTAAAAGGAGTACAACAGCCAAACAATGGTTATGAGAAATTCAATGACCACCGTTTTAGTTGATTTTGTTGTTTATTATTTTGGTTGAAAAAGACCCTACCAACTATCAAGGTTCAGCTACTGTTCTATTAGTCACATATCAAGTTCAATGCCAAAATGACCATCTTGTTTGAAGAATAAGACACAGCAGTGGACGCTGTGTTTCCTTTTTCCTGAGAAAGCAAAAGCTTTGAACTTTGAAGGACGACGAATCACTTGTTCATAATTGAGCCATGGGGCGCTTTCACTGGAGTAGGTGAGCTGCACCACTTTCAGTTTGTCACAGCTCACCAAGTAAGTAAATAGTCATCAAAGGATGGATGGGGCTATGTGAAATACTGAAATCATCTATCCAATTCAGGAACAAAAATGGGTGACAGGATTAATGGTTTTATTGGTAGAACTGGAATACGCATTTGTGAATCCCTCACCAATAATTTGGACAATGACAGTGGGAATGGATTAATGATGGGTGAATGGGTGGGTATCTTGACTCGATACGGATCAAGTTCAGTAATATTCATTCGAGTAATGTGCAAGAATAGAAAATAAGATTAGCAGGAACACCGTTTAATCTCGTGAAGGGTCGTAATAAGTAGTAACTGCATTATTTATGAACTTTGAAGGGTAAGTAACTGCATTATTTATGAATGAATCAAAATTAAAAGAATATAAATACGAGGTAATTTTTGAAGAAGAATTTTGATAAAAACAGGGTAAAAACCCAGGCATAACGGGGCGGATGCAAGATCCATTGTTTGGTGCCACACTGTCAATTAGATAAGTAATGAAGTAGATTAGTGTTAAATAAATCGAATCAAACTGGTCGGACTAAAACTACCACATTAAACAATGGAAGAAGAAAGAAAGAAAGAAATTTGAAGCAAGGACAAAATTGTATTCACGAATGATGAATCTCATAACTATTTGCTTTGTACTTTAGCTAAGAGGAGATTAGTTATTTTAAGCAAAAGGGAGGATATGTTTAGACTTTAGACTCTTACAAAGTTGACAAATGCTGAGAACTCGATGAATCTCAAAGGTCATTGGTGGTGTTGGCCTCTCTCTTTCCCATTGTTGTGTTGTTTGTTTTCCCTTTTCTGGGAACTGAGGGTCGGCCAAGCTAATTGGGCACTTAAAAACTGTTGTTTTTAAGTAAAATCCAAACCCATTTTGTCCAGCAAAGACGATGGCAGCTAGAGACTTCTCCGATGCCGCCGACGGCGGTGGCTCTAACAATAGCTGCGGTGGATAACTTGAAGAAGATGCTCCGATCCCTCTGATTTTTATCTTCCTGAAATGCTCCTCGATTCCATGTAGCAGTGGGGTAGGTAGGTCAAAGTCCGGTGAAATAGTATATTGTGACAAAAAAAACCAACAAAATTCGGTTCATTTATGTGGAGAAATCCCACCGACACACGTCGTTGACGGGACTATGCTTCCCGCCCAATAATCTATAGATCTATTACAGACTTTGATAATCACACTTTAATATAATTGTAAACTAATCCAGCGGCTACAGGAACTGTCCGATTTACAAAGAAAAAATTCAAAAACCAGAAGACAAGGCCCGAAGCAAAGCCATCTATAGAACAAATTCAGCAAAAGAAGTGTGGGGATGAAATCGTGAGTGTTGTTTCTGCTATTCAGGCAAAGCAAGCAAAGTGTTTCTTTCCACAACCGCCCAAAGAGCCATAAGGTAACGTTTTGGGTAGCAAGAAAGAAGCTTCATGCATGCTTTCTTTCTTGCAAGCTACAACTTTTCATGAAAGGCAAATTTTACCCGAGCTACAAGTTATGACACCCCATTAAGTCCCTTTCCAACAAAAGGCCTGCATTACCAAACAAAGGGTGACAATGCTACAATGGTACACTACTCGATCTGAGATCCAGTTGGTGATGGTTACTAAAAGCAGTTTCTCTGAGTAGTAATCATCACAAGGTTGGACAGCCACAAGGGAGAATCTATGGAATGTAACATCTCCAATGTGGCCTGATTGAATGTCTCACAATCGCTCCCGTTGATACGAAAAATGAGACGAAGATAATGATCTAAAAATTCGTATTCTTAATGATCGTTAGTCTCAAGGCTCGAACCTTAAGCCGAATTGTGATTCGAGCTTGGTAGTAGGTTTGGGATGGCAAGGAGCACATGCATAAGGGAAGTTACCAGTGAGAAAGGATCTAAGAAACACACACAAAAACAGGAAAATCAAACCCCCGCCAAGTCTTAAATGCTGATCACAACTCACAAGCAGCCTTAAATGCAGATCCTAAAGAAAACGTCCCTACAGAGAGGATCACCAGCTCAAAATGCACCCGCCCCTCATTAAAGGCCATACCAGTTTCACAAGTAAAGCAATACATTACGATGGTTCAGTTTCACTTCAATCGTAATCAGGATGAAGACACTCCACCATAGTAGCCACAACTCAATCCATCTCCAACAAGGACTGGACATGAAAGCTTCGGAACTGATAAACCCCAGTGACATCTTCTACGCATTCGATTCGATCAGAAACCTCAATTGCATTGCATGAGAAGAACGTGAACAACGAGACTACATGTTTGGAGAAATAAATACTAATCAAAAGATTGATATGCATCTTCATCAATAGAAGCTGTCTGTCTTCCTACATTAACAAGAGCAACATTCAAAGGACAAAAGGCACAACGAACAAAAACATGAAAAAGAAATGGGAACTCAAGACTCCTCTGCTGCTGGAATCTCAGATCCCCTCTAAATGCATAAGAACTAAAGAGACATCCATGCGATAAACTAACGCGAACAAAGAGCAACAACGTAAACCCTAAACAAGAGAAATTGAACATTACCGAAATGAGCAAAAGGAAACTGAGGTAAATGGCACAAAGCCAGACAGACAGCTCCATTTCTTCCTCTTCTCTCTGCCACACTCTCACTGCCTCAAAAGGCCATTGGCAGACCAGACCTCAAAGTCCAGCCAAAGCCCTAACCTTTACAATTCCAAATTCCTCCTCAACCTCAGTCTCAGTCACCCTTTTGCTCTTATTGCCGTGTTCTTCCTTCCCCCACCTTCCAATCAACTAAATTTTTTGTCTTTTTTTCTCTCGTAGATCTCGAATACTTAAGACCGGAAAGTAAAACTCGAAAGGAGACAAGTGAGATTATTAGTTCTGCGATTCACTTCTCTTGCCATTGCCTTCACCCTCCCTCTCTTCCAACAACCTTCCTTGCTCTTCATCATCTGGCAGCTGGGTCTTCTTCTGCGCCTCCTTAGCCTTCAACGCCTGCAATTTGGCATGGTTGTAATACGCAACCCCCAAAAATGCAAGCCCGTAGCCAACCAAATTGATCGGGGTCACGGTATCCTTGATCACCGACCACGAGAAGGCAATCAACAGCCAATCCTTGACAACCCCGGCCACATTCATGGTCAACGCCGACGTCTTGCCCACCAGCAGGAACACGGCGAGGTTCAGGGCAAAAGCACAGAACGAATTCGTCCCAAACACCACGAAATCGAAATGGAAACTCGACGTCTCCCTGAGAACAGGGTACTCGACGAAGATCCAAGGGATAAACAGGAAAACCAGGCAGCAAGGGGCAACATAGTACAAAGAAGTAATCGGATTCAGGGTAATCCCTTTAGAAGTCAACAAGATCTGAATCAATACCAATCGTGTGGCCTCGAACGCGACCGCGCCCAGCTGCAGCATCACCCCCCAGACGTCGAACCTCGCCTCGCCGTACGCGGCAATCGCGACGCCGACGGAGATCGAGAGCATGTTGGCCATGGTGTCGGTCTTGAAGCTCTCCCGCTTGAGCGCAACGCCGATGGAGTAGACGGCGACGGGCATCAGGGCTTTCAGCATCTGGATGAAGGAGACGGAGAGGTAGATGTAGGCGGAATTGGACAGCCAGAGGGAGAGCGAGTAGAGCGCCCCGATTGGGACGACGGAGGAGAGGTACATCTCCCGCGACATTGACACCGGCTCGACGACCTTGAAGACCTTGATGAGGACGAAGGCGAGGGAGGCGCAGAAGGACATGTGGATCATGGTTAGCGAGATCGGGTAGGGCCAATTGTACATCTTCTTGTCGAGGATGTACTTGTTGTAGACGATGACGGTGAAGGATAGGAAGATCCAGATTGCGACGTAGGTGTAGGAGAGGAGGATTTTTTTGAGGACGGAGTCGCTCAGAGATCCGCCTTTCCCCATTGCTGCTGGTGGTCGGTGGCCGGCGGTGGCGGAAGGAGGAGGAGGAGGAGGACTCAGATCTTGATTTGGTAAGTGGCGGAGCGGGAGAGAAGAGGGGTTTTGGCCTTTTGGGAGAGAAGAGGGGGGAGATGGAAGACTGAGTGAGGGAGTTAAAAAAAGGAAGGAAGTTTCAGAGAGAGAAAGGGGTGAGGTGGCAGTTTTTCAGTGGACTTCTACGGAGATTGTGGTACTTGGTCTCCTCCTCCCTCGTTACTTATGGGCTGGGCTTTTGCTTTGGTCATATATATATTGGAAAATAATACATAAAGCTATTTTTCTTGCCCAGAAAACAAGTTAATGAAGGTATAAGAGACTAGTATATTTTTTTTTTCAGTGCATGTACCTTTCATGTAATAAAAGGGGGAAAATAAAGATTGGGTCTGAATTTCAAAAAATTAAATTGTACGCGTGATAGTACTTTTTTTTTTAAATCTTGTATGTATATGTTTATAATTGATTTTCGATAATTTGAGTTGTGTCATTGTTAAATTATATTATAATAAATATAAATATATGTGTTCTCATGTAAAATGGCATTTATTATTTGATTGTATTTCAAATATCTATTAATTTTTTTGATACAACTTCATATATTCGTCTAACGACGACTAAAAACAAATATAAAAGTAAAAGTGGACGGATTAGTTATAATTCTCCATTACGTAGTTTAAATCAGCCATTAAAATTCAAAAATTTAATGATTTTGTATAGTTTTCATGTAGAACGTATATATTATTCTCATTGGTGTTCTCTATTTTTTTTCCGGTAATTGGTCATTTGGTGTTGTCTTATTTAATTCTACTATAGGCTATTGCGTAAAAACATAGGCGGTGATATAATTATACCTTGCCTATCAGTTAAATAAACTGATGTAATTGCTAGTAAGAGTAGTAAATAAATTTGCTACAGTTTCTCATACGACAGGTTTTTTAATCCAACGATGAAGGTTATTCTATAATATAACAGCACTGATTCAAAGGTTGGAAGTTTATAAAGTAATTTTCTCATTTTTTGAAATCCAACTGTTTGTTTTCAATTTTTTTAAAGGCAAACATATTTACTTTCTATCACACCACGCAATTTTACTCGATAGCAGTAGAAAATTTGACCATACTAAAGCACATATTCGTATCACTTTTTTTTTTTAAATCTATTCGTATCACATTTCCTTCTTTTAAGCACAATATACCAACAGACAACTGAGACTGAATACAGGGGGCCGACCCAGAAAGGTTTAGCGTTGTTGCGTCACATCCCTAAATCTTGGGAGGAAAATTATCAACCTATGGATAGTAATTTTGGGAGAGGAAAAAAGAGGGACAATTCCTAAATTTTGAACCTTTTATTTTGTATTAATATAAAAAGATGGAATCCAATACATCATAATTCATAAGCTCATTTTATAACTTTAAGATATTAAACTTATTCATACATCAATAATGAATAAACTCCCTAAATTGCCCAATTTTATCAAAATCCTAAAATCGTAAGCATTTTTTTCTCATTGTTCGTCTCTTTTTCTATGAATACACAAATAAAAAAATGAAGCAACATTCTTGGCTCGGGGTGACTACATCTTGTTTAGTCCCATGGGAACCCCTATAGTCTGGTGTCTAGAATTTTGTAAATTATTATCATTATATTAAGAATGATGAGAGATTTCTTTGATTAAAAGAATTTGATTAATTAGCTGAGTTAATAACGTAGACAAAGGTTAATTTATTGCATCCTCCATGTAGAGGACAAGATTAATCGGTAAGATAAGTAGATGTCGAAAATCTAAGCAACTCTCATATTATGACAGATTTTATAGAGAATTGAAATGTCAATCCACAGATTGGAGGCTGGCATTTGATACCATTTTTATTAACGGTTTTAAGCTTAAGAAATATCAAAAAAAAATTATGTTGATTCATTAGTTGTTCCTTTCATTTGGATTTTACTATTAACTGCCGTTTGGCCTAGGAGATTCATTCACGGGAAGAGAGTAATTGTTTTAGAAGAAGAAAATTATATATTTGGAAAAACTCGAAAATTCATGCATTCGTAGTTCAGACAGTACGAATCAGGTATAAAATTAACATAAAAAGTTTTGTTTTATTCAGTGATGAATTCTTCGATCTCTGTGACGGGCCGTTTAATTATTGGTATAAACATAACAAATGGGCTGGCACGGCACAACACGAAAATTGACGGATGACGGATCGTGCCAAGCGAAATAAACGGGTCAGAAGCGTGCCCATGTCGTGCCGGCCCAAGTACGGCCCAACGCCCATGTACAGGGCAACTTAATAATTGGTGCACATTTAGTGGGAAAAAAAATTGTTTCATGTTCTATTTGATTGTAGGATTCAATTTTTAATTTTGGTTGTTTTCAACTATGTAACTTCTTTGTATCAGAATGTTTTCTCATTAATAAGAGCGATCTTGTGATAAAATATTTGTTATTTTCTTTAATATATATTTTTCTCCCGTTTAGAGCTGCCTTTATCCCGTAAGTGAGTAAGATTAAATCAAACCCCATTTTGCAGCTGGAACTTATTCATTTTCCATGGACTTCTCCTATACGCAGATTCCACACTTGCTTTGTTATGTGCTCAACGCTTTCCGTTGAACATACTCCGAAGTTGATACGTTAACCACTGCTTAAACGACAATCAATGCTTTGATCACTCATCGAAAGCCGTATTCTTTTTTAGTGCTGCAGAAAAAGAAAAAAGAAAAAATGGGAGGAGGAAGACACCAGCAGTCCAGCACATTTGAGCAACTAATAAGAATAATACAATTTAGAGCCGGTTAATATAATAATTTAAATTAAGTGGGTAAGTTAAGTCAACCACTGATTTTGTTAGCATTCCGCAAAGTTGATTCGGTCACAATATATAATTTATGATTTTTTCCCCCCCAAAGAATCATGTATGGTTAATGAAATTCATACGGTGCTTTTTTTTCATTAGTATTGAAATTATTATATGATCATAGTGGGAATAAAATGGGTGCAAATAGGAGGATTTTCCAAATCGTTACTCATCTTAATACTTTTAACATCTTTAGCTTCAAAGTTCTGTTGAAATTCAGTACATCGATGTTGTTATTATTATTATTATTATTATTATTATTATTATTATTATTATTATTATTGAAATTATGGCACAGTGGTGAAGGGAACGGTTTTACTATTGGGTTGCTTCTCAAAATGTCTCGTACTGATGTGCTTAGTGGACACTAATATAGAAAGGTTCATTCCCATGTATTATCGATGTGTTATTTGGATTGTCCCATAACAATCCTCCTTTCACAAAAAGGACCACGAACTTTGTGTTCTCTTCTCAGCGATTGTCTTGATCCGCTAAACACCTTGTATCGATGGGCTTCTCGATACAAAGAATTTTCCCAAACGCGAAATTCTCTTTGATGAAACGAGGGGTGTCATTTTATGTAATGTAAAATTCAAATAAATATTTGAAATAAATATTTTTTTAATATCAAATTAATTCGTTAGTAGTTTTGTACAGCTATAATGTAATTTTAAACCTGAAAATAATACTAAAATACATCCTTTTTCTTTACTCTTATATGACTTTCGATTTAATCCATTAAGTCTCTTTGATTGTTTGTAAAAAAAAAAAAAAAAAGTCGTATGAACGTGAAGATCTAGCATTTTGAGTAGGGGTGGCTATACGGTCCGGTCCGGTTAAATTGGACCAAATTGATCCGGTCCCAGTCCGGTCTCTTCAGGAATATAAGGACCAAAGATTGAATTGGATATAGTCCGGTCTTGATACGGTCCGGTCTTGACCCGGTCCGGTCCCAATTTGATCTTGATTTTAGGTGTTGAGGGTCTCTTATCCGGATTTTTTACCTCAAATCTAAGCCCGAATATGAGATTGGATTGTTTGCTATCCGGTCCCAGTCCGGTCCCGGTCCGGGTTATACGGTCCGGTTTCGGGTAAAACCAAACAGTCCGGGACCAAATAGCCAGCCCTAATTTTGAGCCCTATATTACAAGTTACAACTGCTCCGTGTTAATAAAAAAAAATTCCTTCAATTTCTAACGGTGCCCGTGACAATATGAAAAGGAGGTTGGCTTGGCCTATGATCGAACGTTTGCATAACACATTACGCATAACGTTCCTGAAAAATATTCATTTCCTCATGTGAGGTTATGCTGATTAGATTAAGTCTTAAGAAGACACGTTTGGTCCTAATAACTTTCTTAAGCATCTATGTTTTGAAGTGCAATTTGAAATTGTATCATAACATTAAAAGTACAAACTGAAGTTGTATCGTAACATTAAAAATACAAATTGAAGTTGTATGATAAGTAAATTTTAAGTTTGATGTTATGATACAACATTTATTTATATCATAAATGAATATATACAAAAATTTATAGATACAACATATGGTTGTACCATAACATTAAAAATACAATTTCAAGTTATTATTATACTATAAAAACAAAAACAAACGCACCAATATTTTATAGCATTCTAAAATTCTTCCTCTTAAACAGTTGCACTAACAAAGTAACATTAACAACCCACCTTGTCGTGTCCATTGTCCAGTCTAACGATCGTTGACGGGCTTAGATTTTCATTTTCGGAAGCAAATAATGGGCCTCGCACTTTTACTTGACCTTTTCCTTCCCCTTATGGAGGCCCATTTTAATTCACTACCAGGTTGAGCGGCCCAGAGAGGAAGGAAATAAAAGCCGCACAGAGACCAAGAGAGCGTTTGTAGTCCAACGGTTAGGATAATTGCCTTCCAAGCAATAGACCCGGGTTCGACTCCCGGCAGACGCATTGTTCTTTGTTTTTAATTTAGGATGGATCGGCTGCACCACCTTGATTTTTCAATGCACAAACAAAAATTATCAATAATAGCACTTAAGTAGTTTCTAATCATAAAAAAGAAAAATTATATCACTCTTATAAGGGCTATCGAGCTGTCAACCTCCCTTTCACTGTAACGTATTAACATTGTTCAGTAGTCATTTTTATAATTTTATTTTATGTTTAGCATATAATTTCTTTATTCGTTAGTATCTTTTACAAGAAGCAAGAAGCACGACCACACTTGTCTTTCATTAGATGTCACAATTCCTAATACGATCTTCCCCAAATGATCGCCAATCTATTGTC